CCCAAAACTCTCTCTCAAACAGCAAGACAACTGAGAACACAAGCCACTACTCACTTCCCAAGAGGACTCTCACTTACATCAAGTGTTTACAAGGAAAAAGTGGAAGTAAATGGCCTAAAAGCTTCAAGAAATGAAGGAGAAAGCCAAAGGGTATGTTCTGGTCACCCACACACAGCAAGGTTCACGTAGGAAATGTGTATGGCCTAGGGTTTTGGGCCATACTTTAGTATTTATAGTCGCTTAACACTTAAACGCACATTATTAAATTTAATTGCTACGCTTAGCATTTTAATCCCAAACTCAGGATTCTTAACCTACACAATTTTACAAGAATTATCATATTTTTCTTATAATTTTTGGAGCACCTTTCCGGTACGCGCTTTTCATAGCCAGTACCAGTTTCTGGCACCACTTCTTATTATTTTGACTTGAAACTCGTTTTACAAGTCCTACATATTATTCTAGTAATTATCATGCACTTATTATAGTTTTCCTGGATACTTTTTCGGTACGCATTTATACCGACTAGCAGAACCGGTATCTGTACTTTTCTTCCGAAAAACGACTTTCAGCATTCTTAATCACTTACTATAATTATTAAAGCCTCATAATAATTATTAGGGTCAATTATGGAATAATTTCTTAATTTCACATAATTAATTAATTAACTTCCTTAATTAACGGTGCAGATTCTTACATGAACCGAGTTGTTAAAAGACGAACTAGTGGGCAACTCGTCATCTGGAAGTAAAAGCAATACAAGTTCAATTATAACTTGGGTTAGGTTAACATGAATAATGTCTCGGCAAGCTGAAGATTCAATTTGCCGAGATTGGGGGTATATATATTACCCCCTAGAACCCTTGAAACTAATCTAGGATTTTTGCATGTTCAAATTCCCGGATGCTTCTTACAGGGAAGTCGGAAGAATTTGACATTTAACCTGGTATATACAGAGACTACATGAACCAGGATAATGTCCAAGAAACTCGAAAACTCCGAATAACTTTCTAAGATACCTGGAAAGGTATAAAACCTGTAGAAATTCGGAATATTCTTAAAGCTATATACACCCCGGCATCCTGGACACCTAGACTGCCTGGCTGAGGGGCAATGGTTATGGACTCATATATGAGGCCCATTTATCCTAAGCCTAATAAGGGGCAATTCAAATATAAATCTGATATAATTAAGGGAGGATATCCATCAAGGATATCAATCCTAATATGACAACATTAAACATGGGCTTGGGCTGCTGGTAGAAGCACAGAAGATCCAGAATCCAATATCCACAGGTAAACTCCATAAATAGGAGATAAAACCTATAGGTATGACACACACACTCTCTCTCTTACTGTTATGCTGTCACTAAGCATACACACCACCCATTTGGCGAAAACTATCTATTATTCTTTGTGCACAGAGATCTTCTAAACTCAAGGGTATCTAACTCATAGATACCTTAGAGAGAGCACCTAGATCCAACATAAACATACTAGCCCATTGGGCTAAACACCTCTGTCTTCAAGAAAAAACACTTATAAATCAAAGTCGTTAGATCAAGACAATATCAACAACTCTCAGATGAAGTGTCAAATGATCCGATCATATATATATATATGAAATTATTTCTCAAGTTGCTGGACATCCAGCTACTAATCATGATCATGGATTCTCATTTATTCCCCGTATTTAATGTTTTTACCCACCCATATATGATTATGATTCCTAGCTTGACTTCCAGTAGTTTGAGAAACAATAGCCCCATATATACATATATATATATATATATATATATATATATGTATGTATAAAATAATTTCTACAACCGCTTTACATACAGCAATGAAAAGTGTATGGTTATGATTCCCCATATTTAATGCTTTTATCTTTTGTATGGTTATTGATTAACTATATTTAATACTTTCATGTATATATATGGCAAATATTTGATTGCTGCATGCATAATAGCTACAGAAATGTAAAACCCCCCCACACATATATATATATATAAGAAAAATATTTCTCAAGTTACTTGAGATATTTTTATCTTCGTCCACCCAAAAACTACGTCGTTTTGTTTATTTATTTTTTTATATTAATTGATTCACCTTTGAATGGTTATGATTCTCATTTTCTCTCTCTTCCTTTATCACCATTTGTCTATCTTTGTACGGTTATGATTTAGTAGCCGGAGATAAATTTATCTCAAGCAACTTGAGAAATGATAAGCCTTATATATATATATATATATATATATATATATATATATATATATATATATATATATATGAGAAAAGTATATCTCAAGTAACTTGAGAAATATTTTTCTCTGTCCACCCAAAAACTACGTCATTTTATTTATTTGTTTCCTTATATTAATTAATTCATCTTTAAATAATTATGATTCCCTTTTTCTCTCTCTTTCTTCATCACCGTTTATCCATCTTTGTACGTTTATGATTTAACAGTCGGGGATAAAGTTATCTCAAGCAACTTGAGCAATGGTAAGCCCTACACACACCCCCCCCACACACATACATCTATATATATATATATATATATATATATATATATATATATATATATATATATATATATATATATATATATAGATATAGACACACACACACACATCTGCATCCATTTTTGTATGGTCATGATTCCCCATATTTAAAGTGAAAGCATTAAATATGGGAAATCATAACCATACAAAGGTGAAAATAAATATAAAGTATTAAATTTGGAAAATCATGACCATACAAAGATGGAAATAAATATAACTGTTGGATCAAGTTAATCGATCTAACGGTAAGATTGATTGGTAGTCACTTGGTAGTAACACAACTTGGTTGTCACAATATCCTTCCCCTATATATATATATAGGGGCAGGATCCTTTGACACCGGTGTCAAATTTTGAAATTTGACACCAAATCTCAACCGTTGATTTCCGCCAATCAACGGTTATCATTTATTGGAATTAATAATTAATTAATAAGTGTAATTCCCAATAAATGATAACCGTTGATTGACGGAAATCAACGGTTGAGATTTGGTGTCAAATTTCAAAATTACACTGATGTCAAAGAATCCAATCTCATATATATATATATATATATATATATATATATATCATTCTCTGCCTACTCGTCAAACTGTTATGGTAAAAGAATTATATATACAAATTTATTTATTTTTAAAATTTCAATAAGTTACTTTATGTCATTAACTGTACGATATAATGTCATTAAATTAATTTTATTATAATTAATATCAAAAATTTCTTTTAGAATAATAGGAGTCAAGTTTGATAGACTTACTTATTTACTTAAAATGAATAAAGCTCTTCAATTCCTACGGAATTTTTTTTTCATTTACAAAGCTTAATCTGAGAACCTATTCAAAGGAAACTAAATTTATTATCATTGGACTAATAGGCATTAGTAATAAATAAATTAAATCATTTCATTCATATTGTAAAACAAAAAATAAATTATAATATAAACAGGTTTAAACGAATATGTGATCAAAATTAAATCTTATAATTTAGTATAAATACTATTGCTAATTAATTAAAAGTAAGGACCATATAAATAAATTGACAAATTTCTTATTTTAAATCAATTTAATTTATACAAAATTACAAATTAGTTTTGGTTATTCTGAAGCAGCTTCTCGGATCGGATCAAAGTTTATACTCCACCGTGGTAATCTTGGATACTTGGACTTATTCATAAATAATCAGACGCTGTACGGTGAAATGATCATTCAACTTTAAATTAGTTTTGACTATTAGATAGGACCGTGTAGCATAATTCTGTCTCTTCATTAAATTCTATTTATTCGATGTTTTACGTACGATAAGATTTATTTTCGACATTTAGGTAATACTTCAAATTTTTTTCTTTATATACATAAAAAAGGTAAGTCTAAGAAACTCAAGTACTCATATTCGTCGACAAGGATCAGGGTGCATATTTATGCAAGGAGAAAAAATAAGTAATAAAAAAATTAATAATGAAAATTACTTTATTTATTTAACAGAAAAATATTTCTGCAGTTACTGCATATAAGTTATCTGTATTTATTTTCAAAACGACGTCGTTTTGGAATTGAAAGATTAAAAAATTATAATTATAAAGACTATAATAACCCTGAAATAAATTAAAATTATAAAAATATCATGATTTCCGATTTCCACCCAAAACGATATCGTATTGAACTTACTGCAAATAACTTATCTGCTGCAGAAAAAACAAACTCTTTATTTAATACAATAAAATTAAAGGATGTACGAAATTAGAGTATGATTTATATTCCAATTTAGAAATATTGGTTAGTCGAAAAGAATTCCCACCGTCTACCAAATAATATAAAGAATTGGGAAAATTATCAAACAGAAGCTCTTTATAAAATGTTTTATATGCGAAATAAAAATTGCCACTTTTTTTTAACGAATTACTTTTATTTTTTACATTGAATAATCTCTTCAGCATCCATTTTATATTTTTTTTACTTCCTTTTTTTACTTTCTATAATTCTTCCTAAATACATTTTACGATATTCTTAGTTATGCACTATATTTTCATCTTCTCAAAATAAGGAGAACTTGATATTCCATTTTAGGGGAAGAGTGGTACCACATCACATTCAGCCTCTCAGCGTTACCAACTAGTCATATGGGGAACTTTTAGATCGCATTATGCACCCTTGCGCTTCACCTAATTAGCTTGCTGTGCTACCAAACTCGTACGAGGACATGGCATTTTTTAAGGTACCGTTTGAAGACTTATTAATTTTTTTATCTATTAAATTATATTTTAATTTGAGTTCAGTTTAATCTTATTTTACTATTTCTAAGAAAATGCTAGCTTTATTTCTTAACTTCTCGCTCCCTTTTTTAATTTCAATTTCAAATTTTCTGTAAACCTAATCATTTATATCATAATCTTGTACTTCAGATCCTCTAACGTGTTCTTCACACTCTAGAGGAATCAAATTCTCAGTATTGCTTCTATGGAAAGATCAAGCTAATTAATGATGCCGAAGAGTTCTTAGGGGAATTTGACTCAAGCAAGTAACTGATCATAGAGGTTAGTACATGAATTTTTAGAGGGAAAAAAAAAAAACACACTAAATTTTATTCGTGTTTTGTCCTAACGTCCGAGGAGAAGAACAACTGTCTCCGATAGTTTCTCTTGGATGCACACATAATCTTAGCACTTGAGACTCATATTTGTGAGTGAAGGACGTGCAGAATGAAAGGAAACATAACAGTAACTGATGCATGGCATAATAATAAAGGTGTAAATTTAAGCAACACAAGGATCTAGCAATTACCATACTAGCCTATAGATAAGAGGTCCCGATAATATTGCAACGGGTCTAGAACACTCTACACTTCTTTTTCACCTATACTAGGAAACGAGTTACTAAAGATTACCGTTAGATTTTCTTTTTCATAGCATAACTTGATTTGTCCCAGTTTCCTTAGTTTACCACTTAGACTATGACCATTAGTCTTTGGTTCGTATTTTGCAGTAATTGATAACTTCGTTAGAAACACAAAACTGTGTTCGAAACCCTCTTCGCGGAATAATTCAGGTTCATCTCAATACTCTTTTGTGCTTCGTTTTTTATATTTATATACTTATCAATTTATTTGATAGTTTATGTACTATAATTAAATTATTTTGAATGTTCTCGACCGGTCAGATGACCATATCTAGGCGGTTATATGGACCGCCCGATGAAGCTAAACCATCCTTTCATATAAGAACAAATAGTCTTTTCCACACTCGTTTACCCCTCACTCTCACGAACGTATGTAAGGAGTTACGTAGCCTCACACCTCAATAGGAACAATAGGGATGAAAAATGGTCATGACATCACACTTCTCATATTAGGGGAATCTTCTCCATGCTATAAATACACTTATTCCATTTTAGAGGACTCACCTTCTTCCCAATTACTCTCCTTACTGAAACTATGCAAAATTCTCCATTCACGGGTCATAACTATAACACTCCGTTGTACTCCGGTTGTTAACATACATGATATTTAGCATACACAGCAAAAGACTTTATTTTAAAAGAATATTAAAGCGTCTTATAAAAATACGAGTAAACTTTTTCACAGCGTTCATCTGATATATTGCATTCGCGTAAAATTAACAATCTAAGTATACTAAATAAAACCATTGGCCATCACTGGTGGCCGTTGACCATCCGGATATGACCTCAAGTGTCATTCCTGACAGAGTCTCACAGACAGCATAATGGCTGTATTTCGGATAACTGAGGACATGGGTCCCACACATATCATAACCTGAAAGATACAATAATTAAACAGACAGCTCGCAAATCCCACACGGACTGTGATTCCCTCTCGGGTCCATACAAACCACAGGGCTCCATGCCCAATTAACAGAAAACATACATCAAGTCTATATTAAATTCAAAAACATCTAAGCATCAGTAAATGATCCATGGCTCCAATAATAAGTCATGAGCCTAAATAAATACATAACATAGTCTCAACATAAGATAAATAAGAATGTTCACAAATATACATGCCATCATAAAGTCTAATCATAATAAAAATAAGTCAGCAGCGTCATCCACTACTCCAAGGCGGGGGGCCTTGCCCCTAGATGCATCACCACTACTCTGGGTACCTGAAATGATGTCCCCAAACGGGGTGAGATAACACATCTCAGTAAGTTAAAGGTTCATAGAGGATCCTCTAACCCCTGAGCCCACTTCCTGCATGACATGTCAGATATAAAGCATGTAATACAGGCATACAACATAAACATAGCATCATCATATCATCCTTGTGTAACCCCAGGGTCAAAGCCATAGACGGTTACACATGTGTGACTCCAGGGTCAAGTCATAGATAGTCATCACAACCTCTGTATGCAATAGCTCCCAGAGTCAAGTCATAGGTAGTGTAAGAACCCGCACCGTTAATTAAGGAAGTTAATTAATTAATTATGAGAAATTAGAAAATAATTCCATAATTGACCCTAGTAATTATTATGAGGCTTAAATAATTATGGTAAGTGAGAAATAATGCTGAAAGTAGCTTTTCTGACGAAAAGTGCAGATACCGGTTCTGTTACTCGGTATAAATACATACCGATGAAGTATCCCGGAAAATTATAAAAAGTGTGTATATGTCACTAGAATAATATATAGGATTTGTAAAATAAGTTTCAGGTTAAAATAATGAGAACTGGTGCCAGAACTGATACTGGCTATGGAAAAGCGCGTACCGGAAAGGTGTTGCGAAAAATAAAATAAAAATATGATAGATCTTATAAAATTGAGTAGGTTCAGAATCCTTAGTTTGGGATTAAAATGCTAAGCATAGCATTTAGCGCTAATACAGTGCGATTAAGGCTTAAGTGGTGATAGCGACACGACAAGTGCACCGGTCGTAAAGTAATAAAGTGTACCGGAATACGAGATCGTTCCCATGAGGATCAGAATTTTCAAGCACTAGTTCACTAATTGCGTTTTAGTTGGACAATCAAAGGTTGGGTTTGAGAGAATAGTGAATTTAGATGAAGAGAATTGTGGTTCAAAGAACCTAAATTTAAAAACAATGCAAGTATGAAATTCTAGAATTAAAAGAATGAATGAGATGATGTTTGATTAAGATTTAAAGAAGCGTAGTTAAGGTTTCGACTTCCCCCAATATCCTCAATATGTTATGAATTAAAAAGTCAAGAACCGTTTCTTAATATATTGCCAATCAATTCTATCTGAGTTAATTAGGGCTCAATTCCTTGTTACCCTAAATCTATGTAATCTTGAAAGAACTCTAGTTCCCCGATTATTCCCCAAGAAAACATGCATTAAGATCAAGAATTTTAAGATTGCATAATTACCTTATGTCTATTCCTATTCCTATTCCTAGATCACAAGGATTATGATAAATTATCAAGTCAAGGTTCATGCACCAACATCCCTATTGTCATACAATTCCCCAAAATCATTCTATAAGGAACAAACTCATAGAAAGCATTAAAAACAGATAATTTATTCAATTATAAAATGAACAGGATTCAGAGACAATTTAATTCATAAACATAAAGATTCAATTGGGTTCCATCTACCCTTAACTACATAAAAAACTACTCTAGCATACTAAAAAGAAAAGAAATAATAAAGAAAAGATAACCCCAAGCCTCCATTGGTGTGATGTTGACTTGGTTTCTCAGTGTTCCAGCGCTCCGCAACAGGATTCCTCCTTCCGTCTTGGTGTAATGCTCTGGAATTGTTTTGGTGAATGAGTTGTGCTCCCAAGCTCTTTATTTATAGCCTTTTGGAGTTGTATCCTTCATTGCATATCTTGCCATATCCATGTTGGATTTGTAATTGATTTCATCTTTGTTTCCTTTTTCATGTAAATCCTTGGAGATTTGGTTGATGAATTAGAGTTTTAAATCTTCGTTGTATCTTGCTTCAATCTTCTCAGGAATCATCTTGAATTACTTACATAACTTAGAATCACATGCAGGGCTCACTTAGGTAATTTAAATTATTTTCAACTCATTCAAACCATATATATACTCATTATAAGTTACTAAGGGGTTCCCATAAGCCACTTAGCCTAAATATCACTTTTACGGTTTTCCTAGAACTGTACAAGATTCTTTTTTCTAGTCACTGTGCATAACCCACCTATTATAAAATTCTCATATTTTATTACGTTAATCTAGACTCAATTATCTTTCCAACAAGGTATCACATGCCTCATTTGGAGTTTTCTAGCTCCGACTATCACTGTTTGAAGTTGGACAAGCAAAACTGCCTGCTAACTCCGAACAGAGCCCTAAACATCCCTTACCATTTCTATGATTCTAGAAAATCTACTAAACTAATTGCTCTCAAATTTTTATGCATACAACATAGATACCTTCAGCTTTAATTCGACATATTATGAGCCTAATTTGAGTAAGAACAGAGGGAGAAAAAACTCGTTCAAGATGCAGCTATGTACAGCCCCTGCACATGGCCTCCCATGATAGTCTCCATTCAATCGAACCTACAGAATGGTATACATCTTCAAAAGGTACCAAATTTTGATACTACATAGCTAACATCTCAAGATTCAAAATGATATAAGGAACATCCCTGTAGGACCTCTGTGGAGAGAGATATGATCTCTCAAAGTTAGCCTAAAAACTGATTGTTTAACCAAAGTGTGTTTAATTAGTAAATCCTAATTAGGTTTAGTTAGAAACCCTAAGTGAACATAAATTTAGGATTTTTCATTTATTTATATCTCTTATGAAATTCCACATCATCACTTATGCATTAATTTATTTATTTCACTAATTATATTATTAGTTGTCCTAAACCCTAATTAGTTCAATTTTTAGTGTTTAAGATTTAATTAATCAATTATGCTTAATCCACCTCACTTGGTCCCTCCATTAGTGTCCTAATTAAGTCTTAGAATCATTTTAAGACATCAAACCCTACTATATATCTATATGGCTGAATTGCATAGTCATAAGATTAAGGTTTTTACTTGTCTTTTTAACACACTTTCATGGTTTAATTAAGTCCATTATGTCTTTAGTCCCCAAATGTTTCATCTTTATTAATTTTAACCATTAAACCCTAATATTAATGAAGAGGGAAGAATCAAAGCATGGGGTTTTTAGGGTTCTTAGTTCATCCAAATCAAGAACAACTCACACACAAGCCAAATGTGATACTTTTTCTTACAAGTCTTCATCTTTCTTGAGTTTTAGACTTCCACCAACACATTTAACCATCAAGACCCCATTTTTAATAATTTACAACATCATTATCAACCTATAATCATTATGGCTGAAATGGAAAGTGGGAGGAAGAAGGGTTTGGAGTCATCTTTTCCATGGATTCAAGCCTTACTTCTCCAAGATGGCTCCTTTAGTTCAAGCTCCAACCTTTACTTACCAAGAATGCTTATTTTTCACCAAGAACACACCTTCATGAAATATTCAAGTATTTAGAACCAAAAACATGAATTTAAAAGAGTAAAGGTAGGTTTCTCAAGAAGAAAATGTAAGCAATTTACACTAGAAACTCAAGGAATGACCAAAGAAAGTGTGTTATTCAACAAAGAGCTTCAACCACCATTTTTTGCCATAAAAAGAAGGAAATGGATCTGCTGTATGGAGGAGGTTCAGCCACGAAATTTTGGCTTCTAAGAACAAAAATGGTATGTTCTTGAAGAGGATGATGAGAGGAACAACTTTTGTGAAGGAAGTTTGGTGATTTGATGATGTTTTAGTGGTGGAATCTTAGAGAGAAGGTGGAGAAAATTTGAAAACTCAAACTTAGAGAGAGAGAGAAGGGGCTGCTAGGGTGCTGATATGAAATGAGGGGAATGATCCCTTATGTTTTTAGGGTTTTTGCCATGTCATTAAGTGGCTTTCTGTCATTTAGTGACACCCGGTGTAATTTTTCTTTGAACTGTTATCAAATTTTTACCCTAAAACACCCAAGACTCTAAATTTGAGTAATTAACATTAATTTTGTGTGATTATCATGTTCTTAACTTAGAAATTCGTTTAGTAGATCATAGATCCACTTATCGC